TGGCTTGGGGTCCTTCCCATGCTCCCCCTTGTTGGAGCCTTTAGACAAGAACCGCTTCATGAGATCGCAGTCCTTGTATAGATGCTTGATAGGGAAAGCATGGTTCAGACATGGTCCGGGGTGCCCTCGGTGGGCTTTCGACACCCCTTGCGGTCGGCGGCGGCCACGAGTGAGCCCTCACACCACTGCTTGTTCTTCTTCTTGCTAGGACGGTTGGAGGCGCCTTCGCCGGCGTCCTCGTCCCGCTTTGCCTTGCCCTTGAGGCAATCGAAGATCACTCTGGCCGCCTCCTCACCCAAGGCGTGGCTGGTGGTGATGACAAGGAGCTCCTTGGTGGTTTGTGGGCCCTTACATCCCAGCTTGTGAACTAGGGACTCATAGGTGGTCCTAGATAGGAAGGCTCCTATGACGTCGCCATCGGCGACGTTAGGCAGCTCATTGCACTGCCGAAAGAAGCACTAGATGTACCCTGAAGAGTTTCCCTAGCCTTCTGTCGATAGTTTTTGTTATCCCATGGGTTCCCAGGACGCGCATATGTGCCCTGGAAGTTTCCCACGAAGATCTCTTTCAGGTCCGCCCAACTTTGGATTCTGTTGGGCGGAAGGTGTTCCAACCACGTTCACGCCAAATCGGCCAGGAACAATGGAAGGTTGTGGATAATGAAATCATCATTATCTGCTCCACCGGCTTGGCAAGCAAGCCGATAATCCTCGAGCCACGGTCGGGGTTCGTTTCCACAGAGTATTCCAGGATGTTGGTCAGCGGTGGTACCGCGGTGGAAAGGCGGCGTTGAGGATGTGTCGGCCAAAGGCTTGAGTCCTGGCAAGTCGGGCTCGAGCTTCAGTCCTCGTCGCTGTCATAGTGTCCGCCATGATGAGGGTGGTAGCCATGGCTGGCCCCCTCCCTCGCGTCGTCGTGGGCACGCCTACGGGCATTGAGGGTGTCGCGCGTGTCACGGTTGTGGCCGAGATGCTCGTGCACCGGGACCACGATGCGGGGCCTGTGCCTCGCTGCACCTGGTGGACTGACATGTCCATGTTGGGTCGCTCTGAGGGCGTGCGCTGGCTAGAGTCGAGCTCGTGTCATCGAGACAGCGAGCGCTCAGCCTGTTGCACCGCCGCATGCTCGAGTAGCGTGCGAATCTCATGATGGGCCCAACGATCCTTGGAGCAAGGCCCTAGAAGACCCCGGAGCAAGGCTGCCACAGTAGCGATGTTCTGGCTCGCCTGGGTGAAGTGTGGGAGGGCTTCATCGTCCTTGATGATCCTCCGGTTCACGCCATGGGCCACGGCGCATGCACGCCCGCTGTCTCCATGGCGCTCAATCTCTTGCTCGAGCTCCGCGCGTTCCTGCTTGAGCTAGAGTCATGCTTCCTCGAGCTCTTGATGCCGGGCCTTCAGCTGCTCCTCCCGCAGGTGAGGTGGGGCCCCTGCATCCCTCTCGACCTCATCATCGAGGTCGTTCATTGGGGTAGCCTCTCCCTCGTGGATGCTTTCGATGTGTCCCTCGGGGGTACCTACCACCAAACATTCACGAGAAGGGTGATGGCTCCGCCCGCTGCAGTCAGAGTCGGAGGGCGACCCTGATTCTCCTACGAGGAGGTCGTGCAAAGATTCCACGATATATTCAGTCATCCCCACAAACTCGTCATTCGTGGGGGATGGAGGCGTGCGTTGCGCCACAGAGTGGCCAACGGTCTCTGCGGTGTTGCGGAGACCGGACGGGAGCGCTACCGGGGCGCTCTAGATGAGGTATTCCGGGGAGAGCAGCTCTCCTCTGGCAAGATGTGTCATGACGTTGGCGAACAAGAAGGTGAGGTGGCGCAAGTCCTCTCAGGACGATCGGGGTCCTAGGAAGGCGCCGAGCTGGCGCTCTAGCCTCCCGTAATCGAAGCTGAGGAGCTGGTCACTCCCGGGGGTGCGGGCCTCTGATGCGTGCAGCTACAGCTCCTCAAGCGCCTCGGCGATCACGTCGAGGCCGGTGAAGTGGAGAGGTTGGATGGCGACGGGAGCCTGCACCAACCCTCCCTCCATCGTGACGATGAAGTCCAAGTTCCCAAAGTGCACGTGCGCGCCTAGGACCTAGCTAACGCCGTGAATAGCCATCCGAGGCCTAGTGTGGATGTCGAGACGCGCAAAAGGCCCCTCCCTGGTGCGCCAACTGTTGGTGTTTCAAGTTACCACTAACGAGTAAATTTGTATTATTGCGCGTCTGGCTCGGATGGTGTGCTTAGAGGACACGAGGTTTATACTAGTTCAGGCAGAAAGTCGCTACGTCTAGTTCGTTGCTGTTGCTCGTGTTACTAGCACCGAAAGTTTGTAGTAGGGGTTACAAACGAGCGAGAGACGGAAAGGATCCCAAGTCTCTGGTGAAAGGAGTGAGTGCGTGCTAAGAGCTCGATCGCTGCTCAGCTATGCATTCGTGTCGTGCTCTTGTGCGGATCTGTATCGGATCTTGATGGGTCGATTGGTCCAGGGCCCTTCATGGGGCACCCTGCTTTCCCTTTTATAGGCCAAGAGAAAGCGCAGGTTACAGCGAAGGAAAAGAGAAGAACTAGAGAGGGAGAAGAAGGCCTTCAGGATCGCCGGGTCCTTCTTCTTCTTCATGCGGGTCCCACCGACCCTGTAGATGTCAACAGGGACGGCTCCACATTCGCGGTCCTATCTGTCACTGGCGCCATGTGCAGGCGTCATCCACCGATCATGGCGCTCCACTCTGTTCTAGCGGATGTCGTGGTGAACTGATGCGCCTGTCATTGTTCGTACAAGGGCTAGGCAGAACAGCATCGGTACGCCCGACGCTGTTCTTGATGTGAAACCTCAGGTATGGCCCATCGTGGCCGCGGGTTACATCGGGGGCATGTGCGGTCTCTTCCCTGGTATTAGAGTTTTGACCTAGGCCCATACGCTTGGACCTAGAGTGGTTGGTGATGGTATGGGTCCTCATCGGGTGAGACGGAGCCCACACCCAAGGGGCTGGCAAGGCAGAGCCCATGGTCTTGGGGTTGGGCGAGGCGGAGCACAAACCTAAGGGTCGGACGAGGTGGAGATCGCGGCCTCGGGGTCGGGTGAGGCGAAACCCGTGGCCTCGGGGTCAGGCGAGGTGGAGCCCGCCCTCGAAGGTCAGGCAAGGCGGAGATCATGACCTCGGTGTCGGGCGAGGCGGAGCCTGCACCCGGAGGTCGCGTGAGGCAGAGATCGTGGCCTCGGGGTCGGGCGAGGCGAAGCCTGCCCTCGAGGTCGGGCGAAGCGGAGATCGCGGCCTCAGGGTCGGGTGAGGCGGAGCTCGCCCCCGGAGGTCGGGTGAGGCGGAGCTCGCCCCCGGAGGTCGAGCGAGGTGGAGCCTGCACACCTAGGGGTCGAGCGGAGCTGTAGGCGCGCTCTTGACTGCTCGGTTGAATCAATGTTGATGATCATTAGCTCCTCATCTTTTGGTACCCTAGTATTGGTCCCCAACAAGCACTGCCTTCCACCCACAGACGGATGGCCAATCTGAGGCGGTCAACTAGACTATTGCTAAGTACCTACGCTGCATCACTGGTGACTGTCCGCGTGCGTGGCTAGAGTGGCTGCCGTGGGCTGAGTATTGCTACAACACAACATTCCACTCGACGCTGTGCACGACTCCGTTTGAGGTGGTCTATGGCCGCCCTCCGCCGGCTCTGCTCCCATATGAACCATCTTCGGCACGCACGGACACGGTGGACGCCCTGCTACACAACCGCGACACCTTCCTCGCCGACGTCCGTGACCGACTACTGCAAGCTCAAGCCTACGCCAAGCGCCACTATGATGCTCACCACCGACCGCTGGAGTTCGCCGTCGGCGCGTGGGTGTGGCTACACATGCTACATCGTCTGACGCAGTCCTTAGTACCATGCAAGCGCGACAAGTTGAGCCCACGTTATGCTGGACCGTTCCAAGTGCTGGAACGCGTGGGTGACGTCGCCTATCATCTTCAACTACCACAGGGAGCCCACATCCACGATGTATTCCACATCGGCGTCCTCAAGCCCTTCCACGGGACTCCACCGCCTACTCCACCGACGCTGCTCCCACTTCAGCATGGCCGTCTTCTCCAAGCTCCAGAATGGCCCTGCGCGCTCAGCTACGCCTAGGTACTTGGCATGTACTCGTTCAGTGGGTAGGTCTCCCTGAAGCCGAAGCCACTTGGGAGCCGGTCGACTCCCTTTGCGCTGCTCATCCAGAGTTCCAGCTCAAGGACGAGCTGTTTCTCAATGGGGGGAGAGATGTTATGGTCGGAGAGGTATACCACAGGAAGAAGCACACCCATGGCTAGGAACCGTGCATGCCAGTGCCATGCGTGATCAGCCCAGCAGTGCGCGGTCACCACTGGCCAACGCCATGCGTGGTTAGCTGTGACCAAGCCTGCGGCCACCAGGGATCTCCAGGATTAGTTCCTTTCTAAATTTAGTATGCATGAGCTTTGAACTTGTAAGCGTTAGTTCATCCTTTGGCTATTTGTACTGAATGATCGATGAATAAGATATCAGCCAGAGATTGAGTTATCTCTCTTGCTCCTTGGCTCCCTAGTGCTCTCACTGCTCACTGTCTCCGACCCCGGCCAACAAGACGGCGTCCCAGCCTCGCCGCCCCCAGGGAAACCAAACCGCGTCCACCCACATCCTACGACTACTACCTGCGCAATCCTAGCAGCTCCAACACCATGTCCGTGCAAGAATCAACAATCAATACATGAAAACTCTTTTTTTGCAACCATGGATGTTGAGATTGGCTCTGAGATAATTGAAAGGCTTAATTCTAAATTTAAACAACTTTCCAGAAAATTACCTCTTTCATGTTATAGATACGTGCATACTTGATTTAGGCAATATGTTCCAAAATTGCAGAAAAAAATGACCTTGACCATCACTTTGAACCTATCAAAGCACCAATGTCACCTCAGTCGTATACATTTATCACAATTCTTGTCATGTGTCTTATCTACATATGCTTTCACAGGCATCAATTTCAGATCTCTTATCTGCATATGCATTTAAAAAGATTCAGTTTCTAATGAAAATACAAAACAATAGAATCAAAAGAGCACCAATTTGTAAAGTAACACCTAAATTACCTCCAGCACCAAAGAGCCAACTCTGATTCATCTAAAACATCAGCGTCCAGGGAAGGTTTCTCATACATCATCCTCTGCCCAACAAGCAGCACAGAACTATGGACTGAAGCCTCACAGATGTCTAGCAGAGTTTTGTGCAGAGGTACGGCAGAATATTGGTATGGCCTTCAATCGTGAATCAAAAGTATGGCACGTGAATCAAAAGTATGGCATGTAGTGCAGTAAGAAGTTTTGTGATCAATTAAAAATACAAGTAGCAGCTCACAGCACTGAAGGAGTCATAGTTCAAAAATCCATAATGAAACAAATGAAAGGGGAAATAAGCAAACCAACCAATACAGCAACTAATCCATGGATGCAGGACACCAGGTCCTTGAACAATTCTAGTACAAGATTAATTACTCATGAAGAAAACGTTTAGAGCATTTTCAAAGCTGCCACTCTAATTCGGACCCAAATGAAAGGAAACAGTGAAATTCATATCAAATTCACAAAAAAATCAACGAGAAATTAAAACTTGTACCATACATTACCTTGAGGTCATTTCAGTCCATAGATGGTGGGCATCATCCCTGTCAACCTTTATGCCATACTTCACAAATACAATCTGAGTATGAAGTTCACAAGCCCTGAATCATTGATACCCTTCGCAACAGAACATGACAAGCAGGTGAGCAAGCAAAAGCGGCAAAGGCGAAACACACACACACCAGATCGGACGTCCCTGCCCTGGCATCCTTCGGTATTCCATCTCTCTGTGAAGGGGATCAGGGAGGACATCATGGAAGAGAAATCAGGTTTCACGAGGTGCTGACCTTGCCAGTCGAGGAATTGAGGTAGATCGAGATCGCTGGAGCGCAGAGGAGGTGCATCGAGGCCGGACAGTGGAGGCATCGTCATCGTCATCTACGATGGGATCATCATCTGGTTTGCCACAACTATGTATGGAGGAATAGATCATTTAATTTATTTTTCGAAATATCCCTGAAGGTATAAATTGGACAGCTGCCCAGTTTACGTGCTCCTAACCCTGAAGGTATAAATTGGAACATGTCAAATTGATATTCTCGATTAACTATTATATTATTGTTCACATCATAAAAATGTGGTCATTAGCCTTCACAATTTGTGTGACAAGTAAGCAACTTCCACCTTAGTGTCCTAACCCTTAGTAAAAAATAAGTTCGGTGACTTACTGCCAGAAGAAAGCTCTAATGAGCAACTTACCGTGGGCTTGAATTTCTAACAGTATTTTTATAATCCCAATAAAACTCAAGCGCCTGTGATTGTGCATGCAGACATACTGTGCGTGATGGTGTACAGTACATGCAAAACTGAATTTGAATAGGCAGACAGACATCCTGAGAAAATGACACTACGAGCATGTAAGGTTAACAAGGGAATGCTCTAACTACAGTAACTCTGACACTGCAAATTGCAGGCAGCAGAAAGGGGGTTGTCAAGGGAATCTGATTGCTTGTGCACTAAACATTTTTGCAGTGTCAGAAACATACGACGAGATTAGTTAGGGTCGTCAACAGTAATAGTTCTATATGATCTAACTATCAAAGCTGTATGCTCTGCACGCAATTATTTATTAGGTTCAGGATGTCAGGTTCAAGAGGCAAAGAACGGTTCACAGAGTTTAACCACCAGACATGCTGATCATTACAGCAATTGAAAGCATAGATCCACTTTTCCAAAGAGGCTTAGACTCGAAAAAGGAATAAGAAATGAAAATGTCATATCTGCATAGTGAAAGCTGTTGGATAAAAATGAAACAAATAGTGAATTCTCATTAGGACAAACTCCGATGGGTAGTTACATGTTTTTATTGTTTATTTAATTGCAAAGTTTTAACCATTAACAAATACCTGGCCAGGATGCAAATGACATAGCAACTTCTGAATTTACATTAGCAGGGACTATAGAATTTTCAAGATATAAAAACCAGCAGGCTACAAGCATCAAGTTTTGCAACCAAGAATGCAATCCACAAATCCAGAGTCCACCGTAATACCATCACAAACCAGTACTAATAATTACTTGAGCAGAAGAGTACCTGCCGGCTGCCGGACCTCTGATCAGCTGGCCAAAGGGTGTGGCCGGCGACGATGGGGCAAGATGCAGGTCCTGTGTCGCCACGCTATCAGTCAAAAAGTACAGAGAAAGTTACAAAAAGAAATAACACAAAAAACAACAACAGTAGTACAGACAAAGTTACTTGCTAACTAAGAACCAAGATTATCATGAGCCAAACCCATGATTGAGAAACAAAGACCAAGTTGCTTGCTATTAATTTATTTTTAATGAACCATCATCATTGGTTCACAAAGCATATAAGAAAACACACATCAAATAATCTTGTGCAATCTGCAAAGGATTGCATATTCAATCTGCAACAGCCGTTTTAGATCCATCTTCATTTTCAGGGTCGCAAAAACTTGTAACCCCTCGTCAGTGCCAGGTTTCAATCGCTTGCTCAGATAAAAAAATGTAGAATGCCAGATTCACAACACAACTGCAACTGCTGTCCATAGGCTAGCCCGAACGATCGACTGGACTGCGGCTGGCCAGCGGCCGGAATCTTTCAAACAAACATAAACAATGGATCAGAAATCGCGACTTACCGGCGTGGGGAGATCGACTGGTTCTTGCAGGCGCTGGTGTGGGCTTCGGCGTGCTGCGGCCGTCATTGAAGAGGAGCAGGCGGATCCTTCGGCGTGGCGGCGTCCGGCGGAGACGAGGCATGGCGACGAGCGCGACTCCTCGCAACGGTTGTTCGGCGGTGTTTGAGCAAGGGCAGGGCGAGGTGCCGGTGCAGGCACGAGGGCGTGCCGCGGCCATCGTTGAAGAGGAGCAGGCGGATCCTTCGGCGTGGCGGCGTCCGGCGGAGACGAGGCACGGCGACGGGCGCGGCTCCTGGCAACGGGTGTTGGGCGGTGTTTGACCAAGGGCAGGGCAAGGTGCTGGTGCAGGCGCGAGGGTGCGGCGGCGTGGCCTATCACAGGAAGGCAGGCGCGGGTGAAGATGATTGCGCGTCGTGGGCGAGCGGCAGGCTGTCCACGACTACGGTGATTGCGCGGTGATTGCACAGTCCCACCACCTGGCGGCGCGGAAAGTTTCACGGGACGGTGTCAGGATCGCAAGGAGGCAGTCGGGCGACCCAAAACCAAAATCGCACGGAAAAGTGTCCACCTCTCTTTTTTTTTTAAGTTGTGAAAGCCTTAGATATACAATTAAAAGAGTTAAAATGTCTTGTAATTTGAAATAGACCCTCCGAACTATGGATAGCTCAAAAACAGAGTTTATCCAAACTTGGTTTGATTTATAATCATACAACGATGTACACAAGTCTCTACAACCATTTGAAATAGGGACAATTGCCTATTGGACATCCGAAGCGATAGTCCTTTGCTGGCGGACACTCACTTTGGAGTATTTTGCCAGAAGACACTCTAGTTCGGTAAAATTACAGCCACAGGACATCGCGGATCGGTTGCAGCCGGTTGAGGAGAGAGAACAGCGGTGAAATAGCATTCTTGCCCCTGCCCCACGTGGTTAAAAGCCACGCACTCTACCACTGAGCAGACGACGGCTAATTTAGCAGCAGAACGTTTAATTTTTATGTCACTTGACTGTGGAGAAAACAAAATAATGCAGGTCTATATGATTATGTGTGATGCTGCAAGCATAATGCTATTGTATATTAATTTAACATCTTTATAACCCTTCATATATATATATATATATAGCCTTGTTTCCCCTCATATACAGAAACAAAAAGAGCTAGAGCATGGCGCAACTCCCTTCACTTTAAATTTGACAATATTTTTCATGTACTACATGCAAAAGAAGTTATAATTTTTTTACTGCTACTATAAGCAAACTACACTATATATCGTCGAAATACAAAGCAAGATCTGCTTGAACTTTCAATATATGTCTTCTCTTTTGTATTAATCTCCCTTTTCTCGGATAATGATTAAACTTAACCGTATATCATTCCCGAGAAAACGACGACTAAAACGTAGGCCATTTCTCATCTCCGTTTGGGTTAGCGCCCATGATTTGTGGAGGAGCCACGACACTCCTGGTGTTTCACTAGGGAAGCTGGAGACTTTGAACTCCAATTTTGTACCATCATGAAAAGAAATAATCAAAAGTACTAAAATTGCATCTTTCAGCTCAGTTAGCACTTTGATCTGTAAGGTCCAATGTTGGACTATGGACTCAAATGAGAATGGTCTTTTAACACGAACCCATCATATTTGCCCTATAGAATAATTCAAATTTGAACTAAAAAAACACTTGTACATTGACAATGGAGGACCTTGTCTAGCCATATGTCGCGATTTCTCATTTTGTGCAGGTGATTCTTGCTAGTTTTTTTGGTATCTCCAGGCATGATTTTTTTTTCCCGGATGCCAAACTCAGGACGAGAAACTAATAAATGAACCAGCAGGAGAATAATAATTGTCTACTAAGCAACCGGAAATTTTATGCTGGTGATAGCGTAGTTTCAGTTTCCTGGAACTTCCAGCACGAAATGGTCAAGTCGTCAAGACTTCTTCTTGCTGTCAGGTTCATATAGAAGCTTAGTTGCAAATACCACAATCATGGAACTTTCGCCCAATCAGATCGGATATATAGTTTTTATTATGTGCATTGTGTGTCACTCACAAAATAATCCTCCCTTTTGAGTTTCAGTAGCATGCAACACGTATGTGTGCTGACGTGCATCAGCTGACAATATGATTGGTACAAACTAAGCATGTACATACATTAGCTTGTATGCAAGCGGCTCTTGAGGGCTTGAGGCTGAAGGAGCGCTACACCGGTGATGTTACTCAGTTTTATGCTTGAAAACCGAATGACCACAATATTAAATTTGATACAGGACATCTTTAGTTTTGTTATAAATTAAACTTGTCTAAATTTAACCAAACTCATAGAAAAAAGATTACACAATACCATAAAATGCATTAGCAAGACATATTTCTTGGTGGATTTAATAAAACTAATTTAATATCCGTAAATGTTGCTGTCATTTTTCTATACTATAAGCATGATCATAGTTAAAAATAGTTTAATTTATTTGACTTAGAATAAAAATAAAAATAACCAAAATAGTTTATTTGACATAGAATAAAAATCAAAATAACCATCGTCTTGGAAGGGAAGTATCCTCCGCCTTTGACTGAAGCATTGAAGCATCCAAAACCAATATACATAACACCCCTTACGCGTAATAATGCAAGTGCAAACTGCTCAGACAACCTGTTAATAATTAACTCTGTAAGCATGCTTAAATGTTCAGCAGGGGTTCTGACCATGGGTGCCTCCCATATAGAACAAAGCGGCAACTTGGCAAATGGCAACAAGAAGTGTTGACGTGTAGTAGACAACTCGGTATCGTTTCAACATTTTTAGCTGCCGTGCCCTGTAGTAAAACCATGTCAGTAAGTCAACACTTAGTTGCTTGGTAGTTTTAGCTTGCACTACAACTCAAGTTCTGGACCATAGAGCCATGGAGATGCTCTATGTAAAGTAAATAAAAGTGAAGAAGGTTCTACAGTACCATAGCCTTCTTTACTGAAAGCAAACTGATGTTCGCGCTAGCTCCAGTCTTACACTCCTGTCAGAGCTGTCCCTCGCGCGCATGGCCATGAGCCACATACTCTTCCTTGCTCTTCTCTCCGCGTTGCCTCTCACATCCTCCGCCGCCAGCGGGGACACGCTGACGCAGTCCACGACCGTTGCCGGCGAGAAGATGCTGGTGTCGCCGGGCAACGCCTTCCAGCTGGGCCTCTTCGCCGCCAGCAACCACTCCAAGTGGTTTCTTGGCATATGGTTCACCGTCTCGCCGGACACCGTCGTCTGGGTCGCCAACCGCGACCGCCCGCTGAACAGCTCGTCCGGCGTGCTCGGGCTCAACGACCGCGGAGCCCTGGTCCTCCTCGACGGCACCACCGTCGTCTGGTCGTCCTCCAACTCCTCCGCGGCGGCCGTCGTCGGCGCGGACGTCGTCGCGGAGCTCCGCGACACGGGCAACCTGGTGGTCACGGACGCGGCGGGCGTCGCGCTGTGGCAGAGCTTCGAGCACCCGACCAACACGTTCCTCCCGGAGATGCGGGTCGGCAAGAACTTGAGGACCGGCGCCGACTGGTCCCTCTGGTCCTGGCGCAGCGCCGACGACCCGTCGCCCGGCGACTTCCGCTACGTCATGGACACGGATGGCTCGCCGGAGCTGCACGTCTGGAGCCACGGCCGAAAGACGTACCGGACGGGCCCGTGGAACGGCGTGCGGTTCAGCGGCATCCCAGAGATGACCACCTTCGAGGACATGTTCGAGTTCCAGTTCACGGACACCGCCGACGAGGTCTCCTACATGTTCCGCGACCGCGACGGGTCGCCCATGTCGCGGGTGCTCCTGAACGAGTCCGGCGTGATGCAGCGCATGGTCTGGGACGCCGCCTCCGGGTCGTGGAGCAACTTCTGGTCGGGGCCGAGGGACCAGTGCGACAGCTACGGCAGGTGCGGCGCGTTCGGCGTCTGCAACGTGGTCGACGCCACGCCCTGCAGCTGCGTCAGGGGGTTCGCGCCGAGGTCGGCGGCGGAGTGGTACATGCGGAACACGTCCAGCGGGTGCGCCCGGAGGACGCCGCTCCAGTGCGGTGGCGGCGCCGGCGGCGGGGACGGGTTCTACCTCCTGCGCGGCGTGAAGCTGCCGGACACGCACAACTGCACCGTGGACGCCGGCGCCACCCTCGAGGAGTGCGCGCGCAGGTGCCTGGCTAACTGCTCCTGCACGGCCTACTCGGCGGCGGACATCCGCGGAGGCGGGAGCGGGTGCATCCAGTGGTTCGGCGACCTCATGGACACGCGGTTCGTCGACGGCGGGCAGGACCTCTATGTCAGGCTTGCATCGTCTGAACTAGGTATGCCTGAATTCATTCCCTGCTGCTTCGTCATGATTTGATTCACTAGAAATCGATTGTGTTGTCATTCAAACTCGAGCTAAATCAATTGACTTCTAGCAGAGTAGATGCACAAATTGAATTTTATATAAAAAAAACAAATGAACCAAACTGAACTTTATTAAAAGAAAAAACAAAGAGATTTACAGAGAGGTTTAAGAAACAAAGAAAGTGAAGGAAAAAATGAGGAAGATTACAACAGAGCTTCGAGACATAATTCAATTTGAAAAAAAAAGAGTTTTATAATTTTGCCTGCTTTCCGCAACGGTAAGGTTTATTAGTTGGCATGGAAATGAAAATGGTAAATCCCTTTTACCAGAGCTCTTTTTTTTTTGTAAAAGTGGTCGTTATTGTTTATGAGCATTTTGACATATATACAAAAATTGAGTTTTCTAATTTCCTTTGGAGCCTTAATTGCAATTGGTACACTAAATAGCTTGTTGTTAAAATGACAAATACAAAAAAAAAAATCCCGACCGACCAAGAACCATTTTCATTCAAATGATATTGCTACCTACCGTTTTCATCCCTAATATTTTGTAGGAGTATACAACTCCAACTCCTCATTTTCATTTAAATTTCCGACCGGCCAAGAACCGTTTTCATTTAAATGACATCACAGTTCCAGCTCTCCGTGCGTTCTAAAAAAGAGTATATGTTCGCTGCGGATATCTCCATAACTATAATTGTCAATTACTGACGTCAAAGAGATCATATAGTATAAGTGAGTGTTGCAAGTGGAGGTGATGTTTTTTTGAAGCTCTTGTTTGACATTGCTTCTCCTCATCCTTATTCCAAGCCAGTAAAATACACTCCTACTATACGCCCGCTCGGGATCATGTTGGTAGTTCATCTACTCTACTCACTTAATAGTATATATGTATATAATACATAATCATGAACTCTTTATATCTAAAAAGGCAATGTATCAAGTGCAAACCAACCTCTCCGTGCAAACCGTGCAAACTAACTGCGGGGGAGAGGTGGGAGGGGGGATTTGCAAAAGTGTAATTAGGGGGAGGGGGGATTTGCAAAAGTGTAATTAGGAGCGGGCATAATTACACTTTTGCAAATCCCCCTCCCACCTCTCCCCCGCAGTTAGTTTGCACGGTTTGCACGGAGAGGTTGGTTTGCACTAGATATGTTCCCATCTAAAAAAACATAATCATGAACAATCAGTTGGTCGCATATATAATACGTATGATTCTAGGGAATGAAGGAGATACAGTCGTACGGCATCTCCCATTTGGTTCAGGGACATTCGAATTCTCGTTGGTCAAATACTCACTCAATTTCCTTGTAGAACATTGTCGTTGCAATTGCAAGACGTTTTCAGGCACTGCCTAGACCTTTAATTCAAGTCCAAGTCATGCTTCGCCAGCTGCGACGAGAGGATGGATGCTCTGTGTTTTGTTCACTCTCTCTAATCGCATTAATTAAGTCTTCGGTCTTCCGTCGTCATAGAAATATAGATTGATCGAATATGTACATGCGTGACTGATGACTGAAAAGTCTGAACAATGCCATCAGTGATCAGTCCATCGCCCTCATTCCGTCGTCGTAGCTGGGCAGCTGGCTGAGTACCTTGAACTCTAAGAAATTGCTAGATTGAAGCAGTCAGTCACCCTCTGTCTCTCTGACGTACACTGCACCCCGCACCGCTGTCTTCAGACGCTACCAAGAACACCCGGAAGAAGTTTGTGGCTGTCATCACGCTGGTGATCGTCGGCTTCGCGTTGCTGCTTCTATCTCTTGCCTTTGTCATTTGGAGAAAAATGCAGCGCAGCAGTAAGAAAGGTTAGTTTTACTTATTTTGTGATTTATTCGAAGCAACAAGCATCTTGTCTGATGACAAAGAGCAAGCACAAGCATGTATGCTTCGTTGCTTCCTCATAAACGAACTCTCCATTTACTTATTTGCAGTTACCATGGGTGATGAGGCAATCGAGCTTATGATGAGCAGCAGTGAATGCCCCACGTACCCTCTGGGGATCCTTCGAACAGCCACCAACGGGTTCTGTGCAGACAATGTGATTGGGCGAGGCGGATTCGGCCTAGTGTACAAGGTATATTGAGGACAATAATGCATCTAGTATATGTTGGTAATTCGATCTATTGTTATTATGAGTCTTGTGATGTCATGCTTATTTTGCATATATGCCGGCCGAATGTCGTCTGATAGATTTTTGTTGGTTGATGATTACATAATTCATTCAGGGCCAATTGCCGGACGGGCAACAGGTCGCTGTGAAGAAGCTGTCAGCGGAGAACACCGCGCAAGGCTTGAATGAGTTCATAAACGAGGTGGTGCTGATCGCCAAGCTGCAGCACCGCAACCTGGTCCGCCTTCTGGGCTGCTGCGTCCACTGCTCAGAGAGGATGCTAGTCTACGAGTACATGAGCAACAAGAGCTTGGACGCCTTCATTTTCGGTATATACTATATACTCCTATAGCTAGTATATGATATATATGTTGCTGCATTGTTTTAATGGTTGCTGTACTTGTCTTAGCTAAGCAATGCGATGCAAATCTGTGCCAAATAACTGCAGATGAGAGGCGGCGTGCGTCGCTGCGGTGGAAGACGAGGCTGGACATCATCCTCGGCATCGCCAGGGGTGTCCTCTACCTTCACCAGGACTCGAGGCTCAACATCATCCACCGGGACCTCAAGGCTGCAAACGTACTCCTCGACGCCGACATGGTCGCCAAGATCTCCGACTTCGGCATCGCCAGGCTCTTCAGCGGCAGCGCCGATCGCCAAGAAACTATCACCAGGACAATCATCGGCACATAGTAGGAAGAGGATGATGGACTCTCTCTCTCTCTCTCTCTCTCTCTCTGCAATGCACTGGCCGGTATATATTCTGACCGTGTGTTTTCGTGCTTGGAAATTGGAATACGACAGTGGGTACATGGCGCCGGAATACGCCATGGACGGCACGGTGTCGTTCATGCAGGACGTGTACAGCTTCGGCGTCCTGCTGCTGGAGATCGTCAGCGGCAGGAAGAACCACCGGGGTTTCAATCTCATAGCATATGTAAGCATCGATCATCCATTTCAGAAACTTGACATATAAGTGTATACTATATTCAGTCAATTCAGATGCAATTTCTCTGACGTGACGACGATCATCAGGCATGGGGGCTCTGGGAAGCAGGGCGGAGCCACGAGCTCATCGACCCAGCAATTCGGAGCGACTGCACGGGAGCAGAGCTGGCGCAGGCGGCGACGTGCATCCAGGTGGCGCTGCTGTGCGTGCAGGAGTGCCCGACCCAGCGGCCGCCCATGTCGGACGTCATCCCCATGCTGTCGCGGCAGGTAGCGCCGTCGCAGCCGCAAAGGCCCGTGGTGTGCACGCCCAGGCCCATGAGCCACGCCGCCGCCGCGGCTCTCGCCGTGGAGGACGCACGAGAGATGACCTGCGGCAACCGCGACCTAACCATCACGGACCTCCAAGGCCGGTAGCAATGCAATATGCTGTACTGTACAAAGCATGGATGGATGGATGGATCCTGGAGCAGAGATGACGATTTCTATCGAATTCTCTGCACAAAACTAATGAGTAGTTCGTGGATTCAACTGTTACAAGTGTAGAAGTCGTTCTCAAGTTTCGTCGGACCATAGATGCGGCCGCGGCCGCCGCCGCTGCCGCCGGACATGCTCGGAGGTACGTCGAGCCATCGAGGTGGCTAGGCGTGCCGCGTGCGTGAAGACAAGGAACGGGACGGCTGTACTATTCGATATTTCGATTCGATCCCTGGCGCAGACGCAGGGATGATTATATACACTGTGTAAATATATAACGTAAAGATCGCTGAACGTGTCTCAACACAACAGTGGACGACAGCAATCCCCTACAATTAAAAAGAACAAACCCCTACAATTAAAAAGAACAAAAGTAAGATAATTTTTTCGTGCGACTTTTTTTTTTGGGTCACCTTCGGTCCGCGTCCCCTGTGATCCCCTCGCTTCCCCGTGCGATAGCTGGCCCGGCAGAAAAGGAAACCGCCCTTCGCACGCGCTCCCTCCCTCGCGCGGTCTCCCACTCCCAGCGCCGAGGATCCCGGCGAAAGAAGGAAATCAATTGCCAAATCCTTCCCTTCCCTCGCCGCAGGAATCGGCCACGCCAGACGCGCCGCCGCCTCGACGCCGCCTCCACAAACTGCCCCCGGCAACACCAAAACCCTCCCCCGACAACGCCAGACGTGCAAGAGGTGGGGCCTTCCTCCGGCGTCCGCCATCGCCACTCGTCATTTTACTCGCTCGCACACCCGTGACCCGTCCCGATTCCAGTTTCAAATGGCGATGGCGATGATGACTATGCGACGTGCGGTGGCACTCAGTACCCGCCACATCCCCGCCGCCGCCGCCACTTCCTCCCGCGTCGTCCCCCTCCACAACGTACGGCTCTCCCCTCTCACCTTATCAACCCACCATCTTCCTCTTCGCCGCTTCATACCGCACCCCTTGCCCTCCCGTCGCTGCGTCACTGTGCGGTGCCTTCATTCGCTTGTTGGTTGCGGGTTTGATATATTTTGGGTGTGCAGATGAGCGCGGACGCGAGCGCCGCGATGGAGAAGATCCGCTCCGCGGGGCTACTCAGGACGCAGGGGCTCATCGCTGGGAAGTGGGTGGACGCCTACGACGGGAAGACCGTCAAGGTGCGCGTCACTTTCCCGGATTAATCCCGCTTAGCAGGCATGTGCTCTTCCTGTTCCGTTGGAAATCACCTGGAGCAGCGTGAGTCCTTTGTTCTTGTGCTCGTCTTCTTTGCAAAGAACTAGGAAAAGATCCATCTTTTTTTTTCTCTGGCTCGGGTTTCTTGGCCACTGAACTGCGGAAATATCTTTCTTGCAGTGGAGGAGCCGCTCAAGACTACATTCCAGGTGTCGATCTGCTCCACTCGCTGTTCGTCTATTCCTGATGGATCTCTGCCGTTTTGTGACTGATTTCGTTCTGGTTGCTTTCTGAACGGCGCGTGTTTTGAAGTCGAGTTTTGCTTTAGTTCTCGCATTTTTGCGGATTTTGGTGCTCCCGAGCACTTATTCATTAAAAAAATATGAAGAACAGCGAGTTAGTCTGTTATCTTTGAATTTGATTATGTCCAGAGCTCAATTTCGCTGACCTTTTACTGTCGATCCTGTTGGAATTTCCATCAAATTGAAAATTTTGCGTGCATTAATTTCTCTTATTTCCTGCTCCCGCTACTTCTTTCTGTTATTTGGTCCGGTGTACACCAAATTTGGGTCTTCGACTCATTTTGATTCTTTTCATCAGAGAAGCTCATTTTATGGCTTGAGCTCAAGAATGCTTTTTGTCAGTGCTCATTTATTTCGAGTTTTTGGCAGAAATAGAATTTTGGTCTTTTCCCCACTCGACTTTCTTGTGGATTGAAGTGATTTTGAGTTCTCAACTTGGTGCTTTATAGATGAAAGGATCAAGATGCTCAAGAGGAGGTGAGTTGGGCTAATTCTAAATTTTTTTGTGATAATTAAATCCTATGGTTAGCCTAATTAACCCCTTGTGCCTAGAAAATGTTTCTAATAGTTCTACCGCACAAAAGACTTGCAACCTATGTTCCAATTCTACTCTAGCATGGCAATTCTAAGAATGTAAATGACAAAAAATTCAAATAAATGCTCAAAGTAAAGAGAGGAGGAACACGGCGATGTTTTGCCGAGGTATCAGAGAGTCGTCACTCCCCACTAGTCCTCGTTGGAGCACCCGCGCAAGGGTGTAGCTCCCCTTGATCCGCGCAAGGATCAAGTGCTCTCTACGGGTTGATTCTTCGACACTCTGTCGCGGTGAATCACCCACAACTGCTCATAACTTGAGTTGGGTCATCCACAAGTTCTCCGGATGATCACCAAGCTCCCAATCACAACCAAGCCGTCTAGGTGATGGCGATCACCAAGAGTAACAAGTACGGACTCTCACTGGACCACGACAAGCCTAATGAGAAGGGTGGATGCACACTTTGCTACTCTTGATCTCACTAATGAGGACTCTATTTGAGATTCTCAAATCTCAATCACCTCACTAGGACCTTGTTCTTCTTGGCACTCTCTAAGGTGTTTCTCAGCTGTTGGAATGAGCAAAAGTACCCCCACACATGAGTGGAGGTGGTATTTATAACATGGGCTGAAAATGAACCGTTATGTGCCTCTGTAGGGTGACCAGACGCTCCGGTCATGTTGACCGGACGTTTCGGTCAGTACACCCCGAACTCTAGTGTTTAAAGTGTGACCGGACGTTGGTCAGCGTCCGGTCAGCACTGACCGGACGCGTCCGGTCATGATTTTCCCTCTCTAGAACCGCCAGCGTCCGGTCACTTCATCTCTCAGCGTCCGATCGCACCAGATGAAATCACCTTGGTCAAATAAACTGACCGGACTCTGTGCGAGCGTCCGATCAACCCGGAACCAGCGTCGGTCAGTATTTGACCCTCCATTCACTTCCAACTCTCGATCATATGTGAATGAAGTTTGCTCCATTGGATCTAAGGGCTATTTTGGAGCTACCTAGTGCTAGTTTTAACAAGTGTGCACCACACCTAACTCACTAGACTCACCTAGGTCAAGCTACCCATCCATACCCTTCTTAATAGTAGGGCCAAAGGAAAAACAATGTCCTAAACTACTCTAAGTGTCTTCTCAACTCCAATCGACATTTAGAACTAGTTCATCCTTAACCTTATCGTCCATCCTTTGAAAACCGAAACGATTTCCATCGTAGGGGCATGACCACCATGATTGCCCAATCGATCTCTATTACCATGACCTAACTTAATTGCCTCTGCAAAACACACGTTAGTCATAATAATCACGTATTGTCATTAATCACCAAAACCCATCTAGGTGCCTAGATGCTTTCAATCTCCCCCTTTTTGGTGATTGATGATAATACCACCTCGAGTATATGAAAAAGATGAGGTTTTTACCATGCTTTGATCATATAAGCTTTTGACAATAAAAACAAAAGTGTTAGGCAAGCTTATATGACCCAAGTCAACATGATGTACTCAAAAGATATGAAATAAGCATGAGTACAAGTAATAAAGCTCATTTGCATCGGAGTAAAACGCGAAAGCAAAAGCAAATGAGCATAACACAAGTAATATGACATATAGATGATTCAAAGTAGAGAGCACACATGTCATATATCATGATCACGTAGATATCACTATCACATAAATATAGTTTAATGCATAACAAGTAAACACACGACGAATGCATAATAGTGTATCACACATAAAAACTCCAAATGTTATATATAAGCTAATATAATAACTAAGCTCCCCCTAGATACGTCACTCCCCCTAAGTCTAACATACTCGAACCCTCTCCCCCTTTGGCGTCAAACACCAAAATCTAAGGGTCAGTCGGTGGGGCTGCAGCGGATGAGCCGGGCGCTGAGGTACGAACAGCTGGCTCTGATGATGCCACTGAGGAAGGGAGCATCTCTGTAGTCCCGGTAATAGGTGCAACTATAGAAGGACCTAGGACATGCAAATATGGAGGAGTAGGCTGCCCTGTCAACTCACTGAAGGAAGCACCAAGGCTCTTGGACACTATAGTATCTGGCACTAGCAGCGAGGACGTCTCAGTCGGTGTGAAGCCCGTATGAAATGGTGTGAACTAGGGGGCTGGCACTGATGTAGCAAACCACTGGGACACCTACTCTGTAGGTGAAGGAAACTGTGCTGGTGGCTGTCCCTGACTCCGAAGCCCACTAGGCTGTAATGCTGGAGTCATAGAAGTAGTGGCATTCTGACCAAGCTGGGGTGAAGGCTGTGGCGGTGGAGCCCCAATAGCTGTCACAACATGCTGCATAAATCCAAGTAGCTACTGCTGCATGAGGATCTGCTGCTGATGCATAGCCTACTGCTGCTGCTATAGAGCCTGTGTCTGCTGCTGAATAGCTAGCTGCTGACGCTAGAACTCGTCCTACCGAGTCTGGAACTGTGCGAAAGTAGCAGCTATCTCTTGAGCCTGGCATGCCTGGTCCTGCCTCATCCGCTCATGTATGGCAAGAAGAGCGGGGTCTGTCTGTGGTACAGGTGGAGCTAAACTGGAGCTGCCGGCCTCATGGTCATATCGTCGTGGAGTTATCTGAGGAATGGGCTGGTAGTCATCATCAGAATTATCACTGGGGTCGCTCACGACCATCCCCTCCTACTGAGCAAGCTCCTCCTCCTCTGTAGCTGCAATACCCCTAATAATATCATCCTGCTGGGCTGCAGACTCTAGCACATCAGGACGATGGCGCGGCTGGCTAGGTGCCTGTGGCGTGCTGTGACGGATCATCTGAGTCATGTTGTATGCAGGGAATTCCGTCGTAGCACCATTGTACTCAGCAAGCATCTCTGGTGACCTCACAGTAACTGCCCTGTGAATAAGAAATGTGATCTAGTGGGCATAGGGCAACTGTCGATGACCTCTGAACTCCTCAGCAATAGTATCCTCCATCTCTGATAGAAGGAGATCCCAAATGTCAAACATGGTCTGCTGCATCAGGGAGTTGAGAAGTCATAGCTGTAAGCGAGTCAAGCCCTCACGATACCCCATCCTTGGAATCAGAGTCCTCCTCATAATGGCATCCAGCACTCTAGCTGTAGGAGTGAGATCACCGGAAGTCCTGCTCGACCCCTCACCAAAAGGCTCCTTGAAGCAGTGGCGAACAAGATCTATGGGAGGTATCATACCACCATGAGGGCGTCTGGGTGGCGCTGTCTGTCCATAGCAAACCTCATGTAGCCTGACAGGCTGCTCCTAAAGCCTGAGTATCTCTCTGACCCTAGTGCTCATCAGCCGGTAATCTCTACCTCTGAATGCAAAGTGAATATAGTTATGTTGCGGGTCAATCCAGAGAGTAGCATATAACTGACGAACCCAAGATGGAACATATAATCCGGTCCGTCCAATCAAGTCTGTCAGCCCCGGCAGATATGCAAGGTAGGGGCAAATGTGCTCTCCAGCTGCTGCAACTATAGAATCAATGTGGCACACCCTCTGAGATCTAAATATAGCACTATTGTTAAGGTATGCATTGTAGAAATCCTCCTAGAGTGGTGTGTAGAAGCCCTCTGAAGCTCTGTCATCCCTCCTCGGCGGGAACCACTGCTCAAAGTCGACAAACCGAAGCTGTTGTACCTACTTGGCTGTGGCGGCCCTCAAGTCCAAGTGTGTCACTGGGGGCAGACCCTATGGTCTAGGCGGTGGACGAGAACCCCTCCGCTGTGTATCTACCCTCGGCGTGACTGGAGCACGGGTACGACCAGAGCGGCAAAGCTGTGGCTGTGGTTCCTACTCTATCTCCTCAGCCTCCTGTCCCTCCTGAGTCTGCTCTACTGGCGGTGCCTGCTGCTATGACTCCCCCTGAGGCTGACCCTCATCAACAGCATGACGTCGTCCTGCAACCATGGCAGTCCCAGCTGGACCACCATGACGGCGCTCAACCTCTTCAAGTGCATCTCTTGTCGCTGGTGGAAGCTGCTGATCTGCAATAACCACTCCACTGCGAGCACCTCCTCTCTCGGCACGCTCTATAGCCTCTGTAACTATGGCTACTCTAGTTGTCTCTGCATCTGGATATTTCTGCTTCCTGGTTGCTAGCTTCTTCGTCGCCTTGCCTTTAGGATCTGCAGGCTGGCGAGGCGGGGGCCTCAGATCCTCATCACCGGGACCACCTCCGACATTCTTCACGGGAGCCATCTGAAAGATCTAAGAAGAATCAACTACCGCTGACTAGAAACAACTGCCGACTGTCACTTCCGAGGCTTGGCCTCGATCCGTACTCGCGAGCTTGGCCCCGAGTTGACTGACAACTGCACACACGATCTCAAAGGCACCGACTCGCTGCACGATGGAATAGATAGGATATACAAATAATTTTAATTATCCATCTAGAGATACGAAACCCTATGAGAGCAAGCAATTAGGTACGAAATTGAAACGTGGGCTTGCTACCAG